CATGGCTTCACTGAGTTACGCAAGCCCCTTTGCCACGACAAGGCAGTGATCCATGAAGGGGTGGTATTACATAATTTGGCCTAAATTTTTCTAGTGAATATAACTCCCTGACTTTGCTAATAAATGGACTTTTTTCTTCTTCCTTGTTTTCTGCCAGGCCAAGAACCTTGCTAGTAGTGTGGAATGAATGGCTTTTCAATTTTTAGAACTGGAAGAACTTATTATTTTGTTGTTGTTGTTCCTAAATGTTAATGGAATCTGACCCAAATTACATTTAATTTCAAAAAAAGCATTTGGTCTGCAGCCTCCATTCTGAGATTGAGTTTGCAGGATCTGTCTGAACTGTGGGCTGTCTTGCCACATCCACACCTCCCTGCTTTTTGTCACATCCATCTTGAAGAAGGGCTCTGGACTCCCCAACCTTGTGCACTCCTTTGTATCATTGTGGTTGATCCTAAGAAAGGGATTACCCAGCTGGATGTTTTTTTTGAAAGATCAGCATGGCTCTGATTGCTTTTTATAAGGCCATACAATAAAATGCAACAAGCATTAAACTCTAAATTAAGGTCAAAATTGAGTAATAAAGGACTGAAACTGATTTTAAAAGCTATAGCAAGATTTCAACGTCATGGGAAAATAAAAGGTCTAAATTTGGACATTAAATTTAGGATTAGATGAACTCCCTTTGAAAGGGCTTCTAAAACTAGGGAGTCCTATTGAATAATTTCATGGAGTTGGAAGGGACCACTGACAGCATCTAGTCCAACGTCCTGTTTACTGCAGAAATTCAAAATTCAAGCATCCCAGCTGCCTTTTCTTTGTTTGAAAACACCCATCAAAGGGGAGCCTACTATCTCTCTGAGTAATTACTCTAACTAAAAAGATCTTTTCGCTTTTTGTATGTCTCTTTGGTACATTTTGTGAAGGAGTCAAAATACAAAGGCTTGAAAACATTTGGTGGAATTTTAAATTCCTTTATCCATCTACCTTGAGCACTCAATTTTCTAAGGCTTATCATATTTTACACTTGCTTTTGAGGAGGGACACGACTGAACTGTATAAAATCAAGCATGCCCCAGAGAAAGTGGATAAGGAGAATAATCGGAAGGATTATTCATGCACTGCATATATAACCTGTGGAGTTCTGCTAATCTTGCTTGCTTTAACATCTGGACTGGATGCCTTCAGTGGAGGACCTCTGTCAGGACTATTAATCTTGATAATTTAATGTTATATCCAGGCTGGGAGACCATGCCTCCAAATACCAGTTTCAACAGAAGGGTTATGATTCCAGGGTCTCATTGTGAGCATCCTTGAGGAATCAGGGAACAAACAAGATGTTGGACTAAGATGGGTCTTTGCCTGAACTAGCAGGACTGTTCTTATGTTCAAAAATGCCCTTTATTTGAAAAGGAGAGTTGCTACACTGCTTTTTGCATCTCGGTTTTTGGTCATCTTAAAAATGAATGTACAGCTTTAACTTCTAATGATTGTAGTGTTAGAGAAAGAGCTGAGGACCTAGAATGAATACATGAATACATGGACACACATACAGTAGCTGTAATAATACAAGGGTTTGATTTAATGTAAAAATGCATGGGCATACATAGTAGTAGTAATACCAAGTGTTTATATATGCAGACTCTTTTCTCTTGGTACCTATTCACAGAAACTGGATTTCAGGAAATATTGACATAACACATTCCTATTCTATTCATAATGTAGGAAAAGACAGCCTTGAAACTCAAGGGGTCACAAAGAGTTTGGCAGAGAATGCTGAGAGTCTGCATTTTAAAAGTGGGTGGAGACAGGATTCTGATTTTGGGCAGAGGTGGGGGTCTGAAGGGGTGAGATAAATGGCTTAAGGCTTAAGCCACCCATTCTGCTTATTAACCTCCTCCTATGAAAAGAAATGGGCCAACTCCCCCTCCCTCAGCAGTCTGGGAAGGTCCTGGGGGCTGTGGCAGCTAACAGGCAGCCTATGGACCACAGACATTTTGCACCTCATTGTTCACTCTGCCAAGTTGCCAAAAGCTGTCTTCATGCCACTGATCTCAGACTGTAACACTGGGTCTGTGAACAAATGTTAAATGTGCCCATATAATCATGGCTTGCCAGTGGCCCCTGGGTTGTACTGACTGCGAAACTAGGATTTTTAGAATATTTTCCTCTCTTCATCTTTCCATTGCCATTTCCAAAAACTTAATAATCAGATTTGCTTTGAAGCTGCATGATCAACTTGAGAAATTGCATAATTCATGCCATACTTCTTTTGTCTTTGTGTCATCTGCCAGGCATATTTCTTTCACGAAGACACATCTGGGGAAATCAAGGTAGTAAAACTAAGGTGCAGGTATGCGTATATAATTATACTAAATATATTAGGTGCTGGCAAATTGGTGCCTTCCAGATGTTTTAGACTTCGATTCATATTAGCCCTACATAGCATAGACAATGAGAAAAGATTATGGCACACTTGGAGGAGACAAAGACTTTCTGCCACACTTTTGAAATGTTATTGCATTTATTGGCCATGAAGGATCTTGGAGGAAAAACATTGTGATCATGTTGCTTGAAGGGTCAGCAATTGAATCTGTGGACCTTTAGTAAGCTTTTGGGGTCCCCTCCCCAGTTAACAAGTGTGTTAACACTGTCAGAAGCTTAACTAACCTAATTTATACTTTTGTTTTTAAGGTAAAAATTGTGCCATTGTAATTTGGCAGTTTGCCACCCAATGTCAGCACCTGGTTCCTGGCAGATTCCAGGAATTGCAAAGAGGAAAAAAAATTAAAAATGACTGTATTCAGTATATCTACCCACTCTAGTGCAGAGTATGACCCAGCCACATAAGTTCAATAAGGCTTTTAGCTTTTTTTTATGGAAAGGGAAGCAAAAGAAATGATCACATTTTCATCTTCTATTAAACTTTCTTAAGAAAGAGTAATAGAATAAACAAATTAAGAATTAATGGGTAAACTGCAAAAACAGCAGCAGCAGCAACACAGTCTTATCACACTTTTAAATACATAATTGTGGCATAGTTTCCCAACCTGGTGTTCTCCATGTGTTACAGTCTGACTCCCATAAAATTATGCTTAAGAAGTACTGGAACAAGGAGACCAGAAAGAAATGCAGTGCAGGAAGTATAGAGAATAGAAAGCCAAAGATATGTTGAATAATTGAGAAAACCAAAGAACATCAAAAAGAAATCAATATCTTGATAACAGAAATGCCTTTGACTGGGTTGAGCATATCAAGCTTTGGAATGTCCCTAGAAAAATGGGAATCCAAGAACATCTCATTGTCCTCATACAAAACATATACACAGGACAGGAAGGCACAATCCAGAAAGAATATGGCAAAAGAGACTATCTCCAGAAGTTCCATTAGCTTCTTGGTAAAGAAATGAGACAAGGCTGTATATTCTCCCCTTATTTATTCAACCTATATGCAGAATACAAATTGAGACAGGCTGGATTGGAAGAAAATGATCATGGTTTTAAAATTCAGGAAGAAAATTGCAGGAAGAAATAACTTGCATTGTGTTGGTGATGACACTACTCTGATTGCTGAAAATGCAAATGATCTGTAAGCTCTAGTAATGAAAGTCAAAAAGCACAGTGAAAGAAGATTAAATATAAAGAAGACCAAACTAACGACAACAGATACAGCAACCAGCCTAGAATTGACAATGAAGACACTGAAATGGTGGATAGTGTCTGCCTTTTAGGACTGATTCAATTACAGTGTTGATGGATTCACCGTTGGGAATCTTGAAGGGACAGGTTGGGAACAGATCATCCCACAGAAGGCCTATCTACATGAAGTTGATGGCAAATAATAAAAAATCTTATTGCATGACCACTTTTGATTCAGCACTTGGGCAGGTGGCCTTTATATTCTGCTTCCTTCAATGATGGTAAGTTGTCCAGGTCCTGTGGGAGCAAGTGTCCTCAAACCATGATACCTTACTTCCATGCCTGACATTTGGTATAAGGTTCTTATTACAGAAAACAGTTTTGGCAAATGTAACATCAATATACCCTCATAGGGTATATTCTACCACTTCTAATTGATTGCCCACAGAACATTCTTCCAGAAATCTAGAGGCTCATCCAAGCACTTAATGGCAAGTTTGAGATGAGCATCAATATTCTTAATGAATCATCATTTCCATCCTGCTACTTTTCCATGAATTCCACCTTAACCCAGTACTTTTCTAATAGTGAAGCTAAGGCAAGAGAGGCCTAGATGTTCTGAGGTTCTCCATAAGCAACCTCATTGCCTTCTTCCTGGGTGTTTTTTTTTTTTTTTTTTTATGATTTCCTAGCTTACTGCAAAAAGTTTTGGAGCCTTTCTGAAAACCTTTGGTGACTGAACAGTGCAGAGAGTTAATTATGAGGTTGTTGTTCCTGGTAAGCAAGGAGAGGTGGCTGGATTACAAATGGTGGGTTACTGGAGATTTATTGAAGTACTGATTTGGCAATTCTATTGTTACATTTTGTTATGTTTATTGGATTGGAACTAAGACCCTCGAAACATTATGATTGAAACAGTATATAAATCTTAGTAAATAAATACATCTGCAGCACTGGGACTTTCTGGTGGTTTCCCATCTAAATACTAACCAATCTCAACCCTGATTAGATTTTTCAACATCAGCAAGGTTGTCTCCGTCTTCCCTATGATGTAGCTCTCAAAATATATAGTTTGTCATTGCAACACCCTAAAAATCAGAGCTTGGGAATGGAATTGTTAAAACAAAGATCTTGAGCTGTAGATCAAGCTTTCTCATCTCCCTCCATGGGTTGTTTGAATTTGTGGACCAGCCGAGGAGAGCCGATGAGAGTTCTCTGGGAGGGTAGATCAGCGAAGAGAAGCAACGTCTCGTCTGAAAGCACCAGGAAGTCATCGAAAAGAAGGCGAGAGGGAGATTTAGCTGGGAGGAAAGTTGTCCCCAGAGTGACTCCGCAGAGCAATGTCCACCGTTGGGCCAGTCTTCGGAGGCCAAATGCTTGGCCAAGAGCCACACAGCCTCAAGAGCAGAGTGGCGGGAAGATACTGCGATGAGGGAGGGAGAAAAGCAGGCAAGAAAGGGGAGGGGGTCACTCTCCGCGAGGAACGGGGAAAGGCACCGTCGCCTAGAGGTGGCTAGCAAATCGCCCACTCCCACTTCACACACTCTGCTCGGTGGGCTCCGGAGGAGGGGACACCGCGGGCGGCGTGAGAGTCCACGTTACCTGCGCGACGCCGCCCAGCCCCCAGCCCGCCCGGTAGCGGCAGGCAGCGGCGCGCTCTCCTCAGAGCGCGGAGAGGCTGGGCCGGGCGAGGCGAAGCTGGCGAGAAGCCGGACCTGCTTGGCGCTCCTCCCCGCCTGCGCCCAGCACGGCTGCCGCGGTCATGACCGATAACATCCCCTTGCAGCCGGTCAGGCAGAAGAAGCGGATGGACAGCAAGCACCGCGGCGGGTAAGCTGGCGCCCGACCTCCTCCCTCCGGGGTTCTTGCCGGGGCGGCGGCTGGGCCTCCCCTTTCCCCATTCAGGGCTCGCCTTTTCCGCGCCCCACCAGACCACTCCCGGAGCAAGCTTCAGCCATGGCTGCGGGCGCAACGCCCCGGCTCTGGTTCCCGGCCCCTAACCGAGGGCAGCCTCGGCTCTTTCGCTCCCCCACCGCACCCGGAGTTGCTACTTCTTGTGCCGCTTTCGGGAGAAATGCCGCTGGTCTGTGCCGGCCCTGCCCTCGGCGCCAGAGAGGCGATCCCCGAGCTCCCGAGCCGGCCAGATTCCTCGGACAGCGACGGAGGGTATTTCCCTGGCTGGGTCCCTACACCGCGTCCTCCTTCGCCAGGCACCTTCCCCCTCGCCCGAACCGGTTCCCGCGACCATTTCCCCACCGTTCTTTGCCCCCTGCCTGTTGTAAACATCCGTTTGGATGCCGCCTCGGTGGCCAGAATGTTTCCCTCGCGTGGGGAAGATCGCAGTCGGCTTAGAAGGAGAAATAGACCCGGGAGATGGTTGAAAGGGCTGTGGTGGACCAGGGCCGGAACGGGCGGGGGGGAGGCTCGGGCAGCAGGAACTGACAGGTTGATTCTGACGCCATTTGTAGGTGGCACGCCCAGGCAGAGGCTGCCATTCCAGTCTGGAGAACCTGGATGAGGAAGGGAAGGGGGAGAACGAGGAGGCCCTGCCGGCAGTATCTTTCTCTAGAGCCAAGCTGGGAAGGGAAAAAGGAAGGAGACATCTCTTTCTAGGTAGCGTTCATACAACCAGGCGAAAACAATAGGGACTCAGACCAAATATGGATTTAAGGGAGTGGCTCCGCCCCCTTGACACATGCAGAGTCTTTCATAGACAGCTGAGCATATAAACTTTGGGCTGGTTCTCTTTAATCATTGGCATCAGTACAGTGCACCTTCTGGAATACTTCTGCCAGAGGTACCTGTGTTAGGCTAAACTTGTTCTATCTTAGTAATACAAATGCTTTTTTTCCCCCCTCCGGGAAATGACTTCCTTAATGGTTAATTTCTGGAAGAATTTTCTCTAAGATGTTATACTTGCCCATCAGGAAGGCCTGCCCCTAGAGTTGTCTTTTGACCTAGGCTACTGGATATTTTGTGCTTTTACAATTCCTGTTGAAGCTGCAAATGAGATAACAAGTTCCTTTCCTAGTCAGTTTCTCTGCTTGTTTGCTTGCTTCTTGCCTGCCTGCCTGCCTGCCTGCCTGCTTTCTTTCTCCCTTTCTCCCTTCCTCCCTCCCTTCCTTCCTTCCTTTCATGTAGCAGACCTGAAGTTCAAGTCATTATAGCTTTGGGCTCCAAGAACAGTTTATACTTCCTAAGAGACGCCTCTTTTGTTTCTGAAGACAAGGCAAACCATTTTTTGTCAAGGCATTTTATAAACCCGTATTTGCAGCATGAGGCAAATAGAGACATAGAGAGTGAAATGTAAAACAGAAGAATGTTGAATCTGTGCCTACAGATTCAGTGTATAATGTTAGAACACCAGATTCCATATGCATAAAAATGTGTACTAACACATTAATTATTCTGCTTCTCATGACGGGGGAAAAAGAATATTTAAAGCCAAGTAACCTGTTTCTGCATGGAATTAAAAGATATAAATCACTCATAGTAAACAGGTGTATTATATATGTCCAAGGCATGAAAGCTGGCTGGGTGATTTTGGGCCAGTCACACTCTCTCAGCCCAACTCACCTCACAGGGTTATTGTTGTGGGGAAAATAGGAGGAGGAAGGAGGATTAGGTATGTTTGTCGCCTTGAGTTATTTATAAAAATAAGAAAGGTGGGATATAAAAAAAATCTTATATATTATATATGACTGTATTAAATAAATTCACAACCTGCTTCCATTGTTTATGAGATGAGAGGAAATCTCTAAGCTGTTCATTTTTGCACATAAAAGTTCTCAATAAGATTCTGAGCTTTTGTTTTGCAAATGTGTACAAAAGGTAAGGTTTCTTTCAAGTCATGCTCAATTCCTGGTACTGGTTATTATATCATCCCTGTGTGTTTTTCTTGGCTGGCTTACAGAAGTATTTTGGCAATGTCTTCTTCCAGGATGTGTAAATGAGGCAGAAATAAAAAGATATGGCTGCTACATTTATGCTTCATTGTGCTCTGAAACACCTTTTTGAAATAAAGTTCAAAGCATTGTACAATCCTAGATATGAATGCTTTCCTGCTTTATTAGTTTTTGGACATGCATGAATGAGTTTTGGATATACTTAAGCCTTCCTCTGCCCTATTTCAAATAACCATTATTAACTGCATAGGAGAGAGGGGTGGCCAATACAAGAGGTATGTAATTTAGTTTGAAGAGTCAATATGGGAGAAACGGTTACCCTCTCCATTCAGAAACTCAGGATCCATTTCAGACATACATGCCTTCCTACCTACATACGTACCATAGCTACTTTGATCTAAAAGAGGTAAGAAACATCTGGTTCTCAAGGTGTGGTTGGACTACCACTCTTCCTGCTTCAGTCCTCATGGCCAATGATGAGGAATGGTTTGAGCTGTATTAGGACATTTGGAAGATTACACATTCCTGATATAAAAATGGTTAGGAGATCAGATCACAGATATTTCTGACCATTAAGTAAAGCAAGATAACATTTCAGACAGCAAGTAATATGGAGGGAGCAATAGCTGCATCCCCTTGGCTAATACTCCTCAGCTACCCTGAGCTTTTTACTTTATTGCACTGTTTCCCACCCTTTGCAACTACCTTTCTGTAGTTTTCGATTCCCAGAATTCTTAGCAATGGCCATATTGGCTGGGGAATTCTGGGAATTGAAGTCCACACATCTGAAAGTCACAAGGGTGTGAAGTACTGCTCTACTGGATATTGATTGATTATGTGCCATCAAGTCAGTTTTGACTCTTTGCAACCACATAGATACATTTTCTCCATCATGATCTGTCCCTAATTTGGTCCTTCAGATCTTCCAGTGGTGCCCCCCTCACCACTGTAACTGAGTCCATTCACCTTGCTGCTGGTTATTCTCTTCTCTTTCCTTCCATTTTCCTAGCATCAGAGCCTTCTCCAGAGAGCTAGGTTTTGCGTAATGTGTCTGTAGTAGCATAATTTGAGCCTAGTCATTTGTGCCTTGACTGAGAACTCTGATTTGTTTGATGATCAGACGTTTGTTTGTTTTCTTGGCTGTCCATGGTATTTCAGTTCTACTGGCTAACCAAGCTCTATATGCCACGTAGCCTCCCCTGTGTCCCTGTTCCCCCTCCCGATAGGGGCATCTTCTCTCAGATGCTGTGGAGTGCCCAGTATTGAAATGAGATCAGCCGAAATCCCATTTGGTTACCTTATTTGAATTGGAGTCAGTGCCATCTTGTTGTTCTTTGCTCTAGAATGCAAAGTTTCTTGGGTTTTCCTTCAAAGGCTGACTCATAAACCATTGCAGCAGAACACACTGCATTTGCCTGAGTCCCTAATAGACTAAAGAGCATATTGAAGTGCAGCAAACATGCAACAGCTAAGAGCTGATCATAAGGATGGGTATTTTGTTACGGATATGATAATGTCAAGCATTAGAAGATAAACACAGTTGAGTGAACTGGATTCATTTCTGGTGGTTCTGTTGACATGAAAAGCAAACCTCATAGTTGTGAAATGTATAGGCCAATTAGCACACCATTGCTGCAGTTCTTCCCTTTCTGAAGATTATACAGTTTCCACTGGAGTCTTCACTAACACTGCTGTGTATCTTGCCTTGTTAGTAATGCTTGCAGTAATTATACTGATGTAACCTTAGCTCCAGAGCTCTGCTAGTTACAGGCTGGAGAGTCTGTTTGTTCCAGCTGGGTCACGGAAGTGGTCTTTCCTATAACCATCAAGAGCTGTTGACACCACAGAACTGTGTTGCCACATTAATGTAGCTTTTTTTTTCTTTTTACCCTCAAACTGTCTACCTTCATGGCCTCTGGGGATTTTTTGTATTAGCTAGTTTGATTTCAGAAGACCAGCTTAAGTTTTCATTATTCCAGTTTAGTTCCAGTAAAGATGAACACATTTGATTGGTTAGCACCATTAGTTTGATAACATTTTGGTTAACTGAAAAAGTATTAACAGAGCATCAGACAGCCATGCCACTCATTTGTAATACTTAGTGAAAAGAATTTTTAAAGGTTACTCAAATTACAAAGGGTACATACTCCTTTAGAGGAGGCATCTCCATCTGTGTTTGAGGGATAGGAAAGTCTTCTTATAAGACAATGCCTGTAGCCTTCTGTGACCCATAAATATATAATTTCAAATTCCCAGTTATGGCTCGATCATTTCTTCTGCACTACAAGCTCCATCAAGTAATCTCAAAAGTATTAGATCCAATCTAAAATGTTGGCTTGAGTCATGATCTCCTAATGTGTTTTCTAGTATGTTCATTTATAAATTGCTAACTTCTTGTATTTTGTAGAACTGAGAAAGACCCAGGAAAGTGCACGCTTTTCATTTTGAGAAAAAACTATCAGCAGTTATGCTAGCATTGCTTATCAAGTTTCGGTAGTCATTTACTAGTTCAGATTGATATGCTAATTGTCCTAGCTGTTCACCATCTAGTAATCTTAATTTTTATTATCTTAGTACATGAGATATAGGGCTGTCTTGGAAGATGGGACTGAACCCCAACTAGTCCTCGTTGGGGCAATGAGATTAGTCTGGCCCAACTCAAAGTGCTGGTATAAGCCTTTAAAGTCCTAAAGGGGTTGAGATCAGATTACTTGAAGGATTATTTCCTAGCCAGACTCCAAGATCATCTTTGGAGATATTGAGGGGAGGCAGGTAGTTACTAAATGCAAGAACTTCTCAGTGATGAAACATGTTTCATTAATTTTTAGACATAAGTCAATATTTTTATTTTTTTTCAATGTTGTTGTTTTAATATGTAGTATAATATATAATTGGTGCTTGGGTGTTCTGATATACATCCTTGAT